AGCCAAGTTCATGTTTTATTTTTACTGATCTTTATGTGCTATAGATGATGCATGGCATATGCAAAGTACTTAAACCTCACTCTTTCGATGTGAAGGCAGTGCTCTGTCTGACTCCTCACCCTGTTTAAAAGGTGAGCCCAGAACCCCTACTACGGAGGAAACTCATTTTGGCTGATTGTAACTGTAATCTCACTCTTTTGGTCAGTGTCACTAACTCCTGACCATTGGTGAGTGTTGGAACAACAGGTGCATCTAAAGCTGTGCCTTTAGACTGTGCTGCTTTATCCTTGTTTAAATTCTTTATTTATCTTAGGACAAGGACGGAAATGAGAAAACCACTGAGTTGAGGACAGATGCGAACTAGCAGAGGGGGATGGACTTTTGTAGCTCCTTTTGGGGTTATGATGGTTTCACACGATTACTGTTTATCCCCCTAGTCCAATAGTGCATCTAGCAAGCAGGGTCCCAGCTACACAAAACTGTGACAGCATCGGACAGAAGATCAGTTTGTACTGAGGCAGCTGTGATAGGGAGAGTGTCATAAAGTAGGATTAGCATCTTATCAAAACAACTTTGAAAGGTGTTAAATAATCTCCTCAGAAACTTTATGTATTATTATAAAACGCATGGTTGAAATATGAGATGTTGACATACGCTGGTGAACTCATTCACACCCTGCTTTTGTTAAGCATAAAAACAATTATGGATTGATAAACATGAACTGTGTGGGTGGATGATTTGCATTTGTACTGTGTGTGTGTGTNNCTCTCTCTGTCTCTCACTCTCTCTTTCTCTCTCTCTTTCTCTCACTCTCTCTTTCTCTCTCTCTCTCTTTCTCTCACTCTTTCTTTCTCTCACTCTTTCTCTCACTCTCTCTTTCTCTCTCTCTCTCTTTCTCTCACTCTTTCTCTCTCTCTCTCTCTTTCTCTCTCTCTTTCTTTCTCTCTCTTTCTCTCTCTCTCTCTCTCTCACTCAAAGTGCACACAAACTCTTTGTGATTCCAGGTACTTTAAGGACACGCTATTTGTTATGCTATTATGTACATATTTGCATACATGCAAAGAAAAGAGCAAAAGAGCTGCAGAAAGATGGACGAGACGGAGGGATGGCGTGTGAGAGTCAGACTGCAGGTTCAGCTATTAATCTTGTGACATGTTTCTACCTGCTCTACTTCTGCAGCTTCACTCACTATCTTCTCCTCTGACTCATCTCTCCATGTGTATCTTTTTCTCAGCCACATTCATAAGCAGATATTGCATTATTTTAGGATATGAAAGGATGGTGGCTCTTTATAAAGCTGTTCCAGGGGTTCTTGTTTTACAGGTTTTTTTAATCTTAAACAGATTTCATAAATAGATCAGCTTTTCTCATAACACCTTCTGTCATATGACACCTGAGCCAGCACCATTTGCTGATGTGAGATCATGCAGCTGAAGCTCCACAAAAGCTTGTGATTAGACCTTTTGAGATGAGATAGTTTTGTCACACAAGTTGTTCCCTAGGTCATGGTTACACCTTCCATGCTTATAGCTTCTTTTCAGCTCATTCTGAATGTGACAGGCTGCGTATTCCTTGATTTTTAGAGGCCTACCTATAGTGAGGATGACATAGAAAATGGACATTGAAAATGGCTATCACAAGTGTATCCCACAGTGCAAGGTGATGTTTTCAAATTGCTTGTTTTGTCTGACCAACAGTCCAAAACTCAAAGATGGCAGCCTTTAACAATGTTATTTTCCCTATTTTAAACCATCTCTGAGAGTATTTCTCTGTCCGCTTCACAAAAAACAGCAACAACAAACAAACTTGAGTGTCTGAACCTCAAGAACATAATCTATGGTTTCCAGAAGTGGTTTCCTCATGCGAGTGCGCCTGCCAGCATACGCACACAAACACAATTACCGTCCTGAAGGAACATCCTAACTGAGGATAAAATGACTCTGAAACAACAGTTCCTGCTAAGCATAAATCTGGAGGACGTAAACGGCAACTAAAAATAAAAACAAGCAAGTCTTCTCCATTTGCCTGAGCTGTTTTTTGACCTTGGATGCATTTCTAAACTACTTCTAGCAATGGCCGTCTAATGCTTTCAAGAAAGCATCTACAGATTCATGTGTGTTTCAGCCTCTGCACTGTTCCTCCTCTTCCCTCTGCTCCCATGCCTTTGCTGAAATAATCACACAGACCTGCACAGTTCACAGTGGGAGGCCGGAGCAATCTGAGACTTAAATAGCAGTCAGTCCCAAACTTATACAAACACGCTCCCCTTTGGGAAACCTACTTATTATCTTAGAGAAATGGGTCTGCGGCATAGACGGGATTCAGGGGAGCTCTTCAAGTAGAGCAGAGCAACAATGCACTGATGTGAATGACAGGCTTTGTCTTAGTGAAACAGGGAAAGGTGACACTTGTTGAGAGGGAATTGCTTGTATTAATAACTCAAGAAGCTGGATGTCTGCAGGTAATGCCTGTAATGTATTTTACCAGCACATACAGCATTAAAAGAGTGAAGGCAGGTTTTTTGACAAACCACGCAGGCAGGTTTCAGTGGATTTATCTCTATAGGTCAGTGTGACAGCTCAGTTTAAAGATTGTTTGATCTAAAATAGAGCTTAAATGTAGTTTTCAGACAATTATGACAAAAAGAGAATTTAAGCCGACTTGAAGGTAATTGAATGATGATCAAGAAATAAACTTTTTAAAATACAGAAAAGCAATCATGAACTGTGTAATATCGGTGTAAGGACACTACTGAAGGATATAGACACTTACAAAGTCTTACAAACTCTTATGAAGGTTTCAGTGCTGTTTTGGATGGGGATAAAGCAACTTTTAAGTTACTTCAGTCTGTGGGAAGTTGAGCTGCAGCTGGGGAACTCCTCTCTTACCTGTAATCATCTCCCGCCTGCTCTCGTCCAGGTGAGAGGAAACCACGTCCCCCATGGTTACACGAGAGCCTCGCGCAGATCCTGCAAGTATCCGATCTAGTTACAGGTTGTACTCAAAGGGAAACTAGAGTTTGGTGATATTTCCAGCAGGAGTCTCAAGTATCCAAGAAAAGAAAATGCTTCACTTATCCCCCCTGAGAGGCGCACGGCTCTGGCGCTGCTGAGTGTCTCCAAAGTCGAGAGGAGGAGGAGGAGGAGGAGGAGGAAGACTGAGGCGAGGTCAACTCCCCGACGGCGAGGAGCTTAGGAGGAGGTGAACACGGATCTGGTTCACTGTGGCAGGACACACCCTCTGGGAGTCATCACTGGTCCAACGTGTTCAGTCGGCCCTGCCAAGGGTGTGGTCAGAACCAGGAGCTTAGCATATTCACAATGTACTGTAAAGTGTGAGTGTTGCGTTTGTGTGCAGCCTGCCTTTATTTAAACATATAACTTATGAATATGACATTTAATACACCAGCCAGCATGTGCTGTAGCCTATGTAATGATAACGCCTGAACAATGTGGCTTATTTTAAATTAGTTTCATATCAAGGATTTAATTATTTTTAATACTGCTCTTGAAGCTCTAAATAAGCTCCAGTACTACTAGAGGGTTTGCACTGTGGGAAAACCTTTTAATGATGCCCAGTGGTTGCGTTTTCTTGCACAAAGATACATGCTGCCCTCTTGTGGACACTTACTATTAAAGTGGGCCAGAGAATCTGAGAATCTCACTGACATCCTCCACCACAGCTAACCTGTGATGAAGATCCAATGAGTCACTGCATTTTATTTAGAAATTAAATAATGCTCACAGAGCAATAGAAAAATATGTTCAATATTCTCATGATTAATGCCGGCTTCAATGTGAAATCCATTAGGCTATTCTCATAATGTTCTTATTAAACATATTGCTAATCAGCAAGTTATGAGTTTATTGTTGTTTCCTTGGCAACAGCTGCTCTGTCTGGAGTTCAGTAATAAGCACATGTTTATAGGTATGCTTCATACAGTGTATCAGTAACAGCAATAAACAGTTCCAGGTCCAGTGTGTAACATTTATGAGGATCTAATGGCAGGAATGGAATATAATAATCATAGGTACGTTTTCATTAGTGTATAATCACCTGAATATAGGAATATTGTGTTTTTGTTACCTTAGAATGAGTCGTTTTTATCTACAGATGCCATGGGTTGCTTTCCGTGGAAGCTGCCATGTTGAACCGCCATGTTTCTACCATTCCCCGGAATGGACAGACCAAACACTGACTGTAGACACGGCTTTATGTGTTTTTCATGAGTTTTGCAGCCACCATACGTTCACAGTACGTTCACATTCCCAGGTTGTCAAATATGACCCTAACTGTTGTTCAGTTATTTGCAGTCTGCAACTTCACCACTAAACCACACTTCATGCCACTAAATCCAACACACTGGTCCTTTAAATTAGTCAATGACCTAAAATAAATCAGCAGCAGTTGTAGTTAAATAAGTAGTAATAGTTGTTTGGAGTTTATTGTTTGCATGAATTTCATTTATCAAGCGAAAGATGCTTTTGTCCTTCATATTGCTCTCAGCCAAATAAGCTAAATATATTTTGACTTTGATTTTTCAGGCCACATAAGCAACTTGTATACATCACATTCAGCTTTATGAACATCACCAATAAACCAAACACACTTCGAGTCTTTTTTGATCTGAGGATTAATGAGGGATTTAAGAGCAGGAACAGCTGTAGTAAGAGGTTGCTAATAAGGTAATAAGCGAGCTAATGCGCGCCAGTTGTAGCTCAACACCCAACGCCACCAATGAGAGGATGATGCGGAAGGATACGCAGTGACGTTTCCAACTGGAGGCTCCTCCGCAGCGATGTGAGGAGGGAGGGAGAGAGAGAGAGAGAGAGAGAGAGGAAGCAGAGGGTGAACACTCGGTCCAACACTCGCAGCATCATGGCACCTATCGGATTAAAGGCGGTGGTCGGCGAAAGTAAGATATATATTTATATTATTTTGCGATAAATTTGGTGAGATGTGGCGCTGAGCTGTGCGCGCAAATACAGCTCTGTTTGCAGGATGCGGATATCAGCTAGTGTATTGGGGGGGATGATGATGATGGTGATGATGAAGGTGGTGCTGTTGGTGTTCCATTGTATCCTATTGTAAAGCGTACAGTGAGGGAGCTGTAGATAACCCGCAGAGGCTGGTTCCTCTCTCCAGGCTCCTGCGCTGCGGATGCGCAATTGTATTTCAAGCGTTGGAGACCTACCGAGCGGTGATTAGCCCACTGGCAGAAAACGCAGGCATCATTCTCCAGAAGGATGCAGAAAGCCTGGCGGCAAATGTAGCCCACATACGCCCCAATCAGCGCTTATTTCAGGGATTTACTGCGCCGCAACATAAACTGTGGTTTTGTGTGAACATTGTTCTATAGGATACTTCATACACTTGCTTCTCACGCCTAATTAAAGCCAATATTGTAATGTAATGCTATTGGTTATGAAGTCACAGGAGATCAGTGGGATTCCCTGGTTTCAGCAGTGCCTCACCCCTCTGATGGAGCATGAATCGGTTGCGTAAAACACCCTTTCTCGACTGGAGCGGTCACAGCTGAATCAAGCTGCTGTCGGCTCCCTCTACACATTAATGGCGGATTGTATCCAAGACGAGAAAGTTGCCTAAAAAGGCCGCTACGCAAGAAATTCCGCATTATCTGTAAAGACGCTACTGTCCAGTAACCATCAGCGAATGCCCTTTCATCATCACCGTGCCCTTTATTGGCGGTGCGCCACCGAGTCAGTGTAATCCTGCATCATTAGGACGCTGGAGAGTCTGAGCAGTATCTGATTTTGCCATTAGACTCGCCATTAGTTTTTCGGGCTGATGCTTCAGCACTGTCGGTGTGTGGTGCTGATGCAGGCCTGAATATGGAGGCGCAGCTCGATTCTCCCGAGCAGGGTCAACCGGGTGCAAGCGTTGGTGGTCGTGATAATGTCAGACAGGCCTACATAGTAAAGAAAGACTCGTAGAGACCACTTCATGTGAAGCCAGGTTCAATACATCACTAATATTTTCCGTCTTTTCTTCGGCTGCACGTTTTCTTCATCGTCGGTAGCGTGCCCTGCCCGTGGTGCAGGATTGCTCCATTTGATAGCTGCTGTTCAGGTTATTGATTCGGCTTCACATTTCACTACACACATCCACGCATTGCCTCTGTAGTTATGTCTCACGCCCTGCCAGCGAGATTGCTTAATCTCTAAATTTCTTAAATCATTTCAGGATCAGCGGTATGTCATATTTGTCAAGTGTCCTGCTGCACATTTTGCCCCCCCACCCAATCACACACTCAGATCCACATCCACCTCCTCAGTCATACAGAGTTACAGTATTGTTCTGCTTTGATGTGATAGAAGGCGAAAAAGGTTTGTGCTTTGGCTGAGGATCAGGCCTCCCACATGGAGGAGAGTTCAGCCAGTGATTACAAACCCAAAATTGTGCATTCACACTGAATCCTAGAGTACAGCGTGTGATCAACATAATTAAATATTGTTGTGATTGGTGGTATATAAAACTGTTAAACAGTGGTGATGGATAAGGCTGAAAATAATAATAGATAGAAGATAGAAGGCTATGTCTAGTACAATTAACGCTACTCAACTGTTTGCTTGGAATTGTTGATTTTAACAATGGGATAGTAAATGATTGAATGACATTATATGATCATATTGTGTTAAGATTCCACTGATCATACTGAATCATTAGCTAACCCTGCTGTGGAGTTAGAGCACAATTTTAAAAGGTTATTAGGAAATGTTGTGTGGCCCAGTTTTACATTGTGGTTGCGGTGAAAATTAGTATTATTATTACAGAGTAGACCTACAGTACATTTAACACCAGGCATCACTGGTAGTCGTCATTTTTCTGTAACATTTTTTGAACTCCACAACAACAACACTGCAATTTGATAGAAATGATATCATCTGCGTACCTGCAACATTACGTAATACAGCTTCATATGCCAAATATTCTTGTATGTTCTGCATTATTTAATTACTTAGGCCTCGTAACTGGCAATTACATAACCCAGTTTGTAAAACTAAAGGCAGGCACACGCAGGCTCTTAGTGTCGACTGAATCGTCTTTTCCAGAGCAATGTAAACACTCGTGCATGTTTCCCTGTAGGTGAAGGCAGGGACGCAGCAGGCAACACCTGCGCTCTGTTTGGCTGAGGTGAAGCTAGGATGGGATTGGTGGAGGCGGTGGGGGCAAAAAGGGGAGGGTAGCACCATCATGGGTCCTCTCTGCAGCAGTGGATGTAGCAGCCAGGCTAAAGGAGGGGGATGGGCAGCAAGCAGAGCTTCACCCTCCCCTTTCACGACTGTATGTGAGCATCAGTCCCAGAGAGCAACAGAAGGAAAATAAGGCTGAAGGATGAGGATCACAATCTGAGCTGGTAGATATTTAAATGAAAATGGTTCTGCTGCTCAGGTTGATGAAACTGAGAGAGCACAGCAGCTCTTTTTGTAAATTACAACAATCCAGTGATTAAAAGGAAATAATATTCTGTTTTTGACATTCAGGAGGTGAACACTTTACACTGTAATGCATATAAGGCATGTGTTCATGGTATGTGTCTATTCCTTGTATTCTTCACTTCTTGAGACTCTTTTATGTTGACCCAGACAAGGAAAATATTCAATAATTTAATGATTTATTTGGAAGTGGATTATATGGATACAATCTTGTATCACAGAATATGTAATTTCCTATCATGATATTGATACAGTGGTAGACTACAGTTAATGTTCTGGGAATTAAAGTAAGAAAGTCCTGATAGATAAAGTAGCATTAGAAAGTCTGTTTTTTGGTTTGTCGACTGAAATATATACCTTACATATCAAGATACCTCATCACATTTCTGCAAAAAATCTTTCACTTTAGACAGATTAACAGTGTCTCACCCGTTATTCCTGTTCAGGTTCATTAGGTTCATCCTGCGCAGGCAGTGCTGTCAGATTGACACTCCGCATTCAGCATACACACAGTTTTAATTAGCATCCTGTAGTTGCATAACAGGTACAAGTAATGTGATTGTCCATTTAAGAGTCAAAATATGCCCGTTCAGCAGAAACGAAGGTGTAGAAACAACAGCCTGACTCGAACCACCGTCTTACACCCACTGGCCAACAGCAGTGTTGTCGTTAACTGTTTATTGTGGCATTTTTGATCGATTCAATCATCAGTGAGCTAAATCAGAGCGCCGAAATCAGTCAGTTGTAATCCAAAAATTCAAAAGACATATCACACCTGCAACAATAAGTTATTTGCGTTGTTGCTGTTCTTGTGTGAATGATTAAGTCTGTAAATGCAGAGGTGGAGTTCAGCTGGAAAAAAACACTAAACAGGTAGATACTGACAGTTTTTCCCAATTCCATATTATTATACACTGTTACCATGGAATAAGTATAACAATATTATAAATGGAATCATATGGAAGTTGTTTTCTTAACAACCATTGCCCTTATTGCATTCAGCTTCTCCCGGTTAGCATTCCTTCAGTGTTCATCATTCAGGAGGTTTTTACCAGAAGCTGAATTATCCACACAGGTCTTCTCCTCTCCAAAACAAACGGCCCTGATGATTAAAATCAGTAAAAACACTAAATAAAGCAGTTTCACCTTAAATATCAGCCTGTCTCCGCTGCTGTTCGGCTGACAGTGGACGTCCTGGACAGCTTGCCAGCCGAGCTTCTGCTAATGTTAGCTCAGCTTGTTTCTGTGATAACTTAAGATTTAGACATCCAATGACTAAAATCCTTCAATATTTATTTTAAAAATGACCAAGATCGACAAAGTGTATTTTAAAAATGTGACTTAAAACTGCATAAAAAGTCAATTTATGAAAGCTCCTGGAAGAGAACAACACTGACACATGCTTAAAGAGGATATGACACCATTGAGAGGTGACTTGTGAAACGCACTGTTACCTAAATAAAAAGACAGATTTGTGGGTTTGAACATTGTTGGAAACATTGGGAATAATGGAATTACACATCTCGACAAATATAATATAGATCTAGCATTTTTAGACATTTTAAGGCAGAAATGTTTCATATTATATCTTTAATGATACAATTTATTAGTACTGTTCATTGTTGTAAAATGAAACAATTCACAGCGTGTGCTGAAAGACGCCAGCCGAGTTGTGAGTAGGACTTGGCAATGAACCCGAATTGTATTGTTCTCTCTTTTATTCTTGTCTCTTGTAGCAAGACTTTGAAACTATTAAAAGACTAAATTGACAGTTTGGGAAATACACTCATTTACTTTCTTGCTGAGAATCAAATAAGGAAATCGATACAACTGCCATGTCTGTGGGTTAAGTACAAAGTTAGAGTCAAATTGTGGTTAGCTTAGCTTAGCATATAAACTGGGCGTACTAGGAGACAGCTAGCCTGGTTATGTCCAAAGTTCAATTTCTTGGCAAACAAAAGCCAGGTGGAGTAAAGTTGCCCAGGTTTGCTTTTGTTGTTCCTACAGAGAAATCAAACCATAACAAACTCACAGCCAATACATCCCTTAAAACGATACATTGTTGTTTTTGCATTTCACTTTACGGAATAAACAAATGAGGTTCATTGCATTGATTAGTGAGTTTTGGAGGTATTGGTATTTTACTCCTATGCCCAGTTTTTATGCTAAGCTAGGCTAACACATCCTGACTCCTTAAAGGTCCTGTGTGTAACATTTAGGAGGATCTATTGGCAGAAATGGAATATAATCATCATAAGGGTGTGTTTTTATTAGTGTATAATCACCTAAATATTGGACTTGTTGTAGAATGAATCTTTTTTTTTATCTACAGAGACCCCGGGTTGCCTTTCATGGAGTCCGCCATGTTGAAACAGCATGTTTTATAGGGACTTTTGTGGTTTTCTCGAGATTCTTTAATGCACTGATATGAGACTAATATTGATCTTCTCATTTAACT